GGCCTGTGCCACCATACCTGACTCAATTCAGCCATTTTTATGTCCAGTTAATTATATTTATTTTATATACCCATATTTATTAACTTTGCAATGGATTTAACTATAAATGAAATTTATGTAACATTAAGATATATCAAATTAGCATTTAAAAAGGAAACCATAAACAGTATTGAAATTGTGATATATTATATACTTTACCTGGATTATCTCAGGTTAACATTTAGGAGGTGTTCTGATAGGTTCTGTCATCTAAATGGGCATGATAGGTAAGGAATATAGTTAAGCTTTCATCCCACACTATCTGGTACCAAAGCAGTAGTATTATCTTTTATTCTATGCTGCTTTTAGAAAACTTCCAGGCACTACTTTTTTACATGTCAAGGCAATATAAGTGAACAACTTAATCACCAAAAAAAGAAGATATTTTGTATAGTTATGCTTACATATGTGAATACGGATTTTGCATGTATATGTTATTTATATACACAGCAATTTAATTTTCTCTTGTCATTACTGCCTCAAGAAAATATAACCTGAAATGCATGATTTCCATGTACAACCCTCTTCAGATGTGATATTTTCATGTGACTGAAAATGGAGTAAAGGATAAATGAACGAAATGAAGAGAGATGGAAAGTAAGTTTGTTAAAAGCTCTGAAAAGCAAAACGACTGATTGTTTAACTAATAAAATTAACATTATCAGGATAACTTAGTTTTGAAAATCTGTGTCCTTATTAGTGCTCTAAAGATCTATCAGTATTGCTTTCACAGGAAAATTTTAGAAGAAAATTAAGACAACGACACTGCATCTGATGTTTGCTTGCATTCCACATCTGCAATGGTGAAACTTTGGATAATCTTTGATTATATTATACCATATTTTCATCCATTTTCTTGAACCTTTTTCTTAAATCAGCAGTTCTTGAAGCATGAGACTATAAAAGTAGTCATAGATTCTTGTAACCAGGGATATCATTTTCAGGTAAATCCATTTCTAAAATATGGTATGGGTGTGTTTACAACCTATCTGATCGATTTTTCTGAAATAGCATGTTCTGAGCTAATAAGCAATTTGAAAGAATAAGTATAAGTAATAAGTGGATAATATTAAGGGATTCAAATCCTTAAGGTTAGCATAAATTTTATAATAATAATCCCAGTGCTGATAGATACTTGTGTTGGTCAGTGCAGCCCCATTTTCTTAGTAATTAATCAATGCAACAATTTCATCAATTATTTTCATTAAGTGACATCTAAGTCTCAGGAATTGAAGACACAGAGAGCAATGAAAAAAAGGTGGATTTTAGAATGTTACAAAGCGCATATGAGATGGCATGGTAAACCGACGGCATCCTGCAAAGATGAGGTGAGGCGGTTAGTCAGCCCCAGCTAGGAAAGGTGATGATTTGCACATATAAATAACAAAGGCATATGTTAACCATATGGAGTTTAATGAAAATTTCACACACCATTCATAAAGTTTATATGGTATGCCCTAAATCCACCGTTTTTTATTTGTACTGCAAATTACATTGCGCTTGAATCTTTTAATTCTAAGGAGAGAAAAATTGGTCACTAGAGACAAAAACTAAAGCATTCTACATTTCTCTTTATGTCCATGATAGGTATATTAGTGGACAGGGACCTGCATCTAAGTGGGCAGAAGGCTGAGATTGCTTGCCCCTATGGGTGGATCAGAGGGCGGCTCCAACTGGGCTGCTTTAAGAGGTTTGGTATAGGCTTTAGACAATATCATGAGATTTGCAGACAAATGGATGGAACTAGAAAAAAATCATCCTGAGTGAGGTAACCCAGACCCAGAAAGACAGTATGTACTCACTCATAAATGCATGCTAGGTGTAAAGTAAAGGATAACCAGACTACAATCCATAGCTCCAGAGAAGCTGGGTAACAAAGAGGACCCTGAGAGAGACACCTGGATTGCCCTGGGAAGGGGAAATAGATGAGATCTCCTGAGTAAACTGGGGCTTGGGGCATGGTAGAGGGGAGGGAATGGGGGACAAGAACATGAGGGAATACGATGGTCGAGTTGTGGGAGGGACAGAGTGGGAGAGCATGAAAGAGGTACCTTGATAGCGGAGCCATTATGGGGTGAGGGAGAAAACTGGTGCTGGGGAAATTCCCAGGAATCCGCCAGGGTGACTCCAGCTATGACTCCTAGTAAGAGCAGAGAGGGTACCTGAACTGGCCTTCTTCTGCAATCAGATTAGTGAGTACTCTAATTGTCATCATAGAACCTTCATCCAGTAACTGATAGAAGCAGATGCAAAGATCCACACCCAAGGACTGGGCCTAGCTCCAGGAGTCCAGTTAAAGAGAGGGAGGATGGATTACATAAGCAAGAAGGGGCATTCACAGAGGCAGCTGACCTGGGCTAGCAGGACACTAGTAGCACAGACACTGAGACTGGCAATTAATAAATGGGATCTCCTAAAACTGAGAGGCTTCTGTAAGGCAAAGGACAGAGTCAACAAGACAAAGCAGTTCAAGGACTCTACACCTCTACACTGACAGCTGGGGAGCCTGCATGGGACAGACCTATGCCCTCTGCATGTGGGTGATAGTTGTGTAGCCTTATCTGTTTGTGAGACCCCTGGGCCCAAGATCTATCCCCTGGTAGATGAGCTGGCTTTTTTGGAGCTCATTCCATATGGTGGGACACTTTGCTCAGCCTTGATGCAGGGGGAAGGGGCTTGGTCCTGACTCAACTTAATGTGCCAGGGATTGTTGACTCACCATGGGAGGCCTTAGCCTCTCTGAGGAGTAGATGGGGGGGTTGGGTGGAGATGGGGGGTGGAGAAGGAGGAAGTGAGGAAGGGGAAACTGTAGTTGGTATGTAAAATGGATAAAAACATTAAAATTAAAAAAAGAGGTTTAGTATAAAGCAGTGTGATGTAACACTTTTTACATTGTGGAAAAAACAGAAGCATGCCTTATTCTCTTCTTGGTAAACTATGGGGAGATTTCAAAGAGAGTGTTATGTACGTATTAACAGCTATCATTGAGCACATTGTGTGGTGCATAGCTGTAACTAGCAGACTGAAGCAGGAGAACTGAAAGTTCAAAGCCAACCTGGGCCACACAGTGAGATGTTATCTCATAAACAGAGATGGAAAAACAAAACCAAATAAAAAACAGTACAATGGTAGAAATTCTGAATTATGGTCAAAGTCAGGCCAGTGGTGAGTACTTATGATCATTGGTTTTCAGCTTTGCAAAATGAGGTGAGTTCTATAGTGGGCCTTTGTCATTGCACAACCTTGTGCGTAGGTTACAGCTTTATGAGTGTTGTGTGCTAGGCTGCCTGAGTTAGTAGGATTTTCTTCTCAGCACAGTATCACAGCTTACTCAAGGAAGCTACTGCAAGCTAGGACAGAAGGCTTTTCTTTCTCCAACACCTCTGAAATGCAGTTGGAACAAATATTAGGAGTCTGGGTAACTTTCATATTAGTTTTCCAGCTCACTGTCCTCATCTGTTAGAAAGGGTGGCAAGTATTGTGTTAAGAGAATGCATAGCATATAAATGAAACATTTTTAGGAAATGCAATTCATACTTTCTTCATATGTGTATTTGTGGACAATTGATTGGAAGGGTTATGGTGCAAATCATACCTCTCAGAAAGTATCCAAAGTGCATTTTTTAAAATTTAAATTAGAAACAAACTTACTTCATATGTCATTCCCAGCTCCCTCTCCCCCTCCCCTCCTTCCCTGCCACTGCCTCCCCTCCCCCTGCCACCCATCCCTACTTTTTTCTCCAGGGAGGGTGAGGCCCTCCATGGGGGAATCTCCAGAGTCTGTCATTTCATTCAGGTCAGGGCCTAGGCCTTCCCCGAAGAGTCTAGGCTGAGAGAGCATCCCTCATTGTGGGCTGGGCACCCAAAGTCCGTTTGTACACCAGGGGTAATTTCTGATTTACTACCCAAGGCCCCATAGATTACCTAGGCCTCCTCACTGACACCCACATTCAGGGAGTCTGGATCAGTCCCATGCTGGCCTCCCAGTGATCAGTCTAGGGTCCAATGGCTCCGTCTTGTTCAGATCAGCTGTTTATGTGGAGTTTCACCAGCTCAGTCTTGACCCCTTTTCTGTCACAGGGTTCCAGGAGTTCAGCTCAGTGCTTCTAAGCATTTTATACTTTAAGCCACATAAATGTGGCTTGCAGAACTGGCGTCTTTATACAAAAATCTGTATAAATTGGAGAATAAACTCAATGAATACCTTTGATTCTTTTTCTCTAAGGATATTTGTTTTATATTTTACACTTAATTTCTCTCTCTTTTTTTAAGGAATAAAATTTAAATTTTCTGAAATGGACACTTTGAATTTGGACAAAATGTCAGGAATTTTGCATGACAGGACAGCATACAGCTATTATTAGTGACCAATAGGAAACATGCAACATATATGTCACATTCATGGACAAAACTCTCAAAGCTTGTCATAGTATTAAAAAAGTAAAGATCTACAATAGTTTTAGCTCATGAAAGGAAATAAAGGCAGTAGGGGAAATAAAACTGCTTTGTCAAGGGTTGTTTTTAAAATGTCTATTTCTTCATATTATGTCTTTTAGTGGACTGTATTATATATAATTTTTATTAAGAAATGAATAAGACATACAAAGAAGGAGATTTCCAAAATCTTATTTCAATCCAATAAATCAACCTGCAAAATATGACACTGGATTGCAATTCTGGAAAATGTTAGTATAGGTAGCAAAATTAAGTTATTTTTCTGATGATTTCTTCAGAACACAAAAGCAAAGCAGTAGTATGAGCCTTCTGCTAAGATATCATGTTCACAGGGGTTTGCTTTGGGATTCTTACAAGTGTTTACCAAGGAATGGAAAAATTATCAGTTGCTTCATTAGAAATGAGGACTCGACATTTGAAGTACTCTTTCAAAGTCTCATGACCTCATTGAAAGCATAATTTAACCAGAGATTTTGAAGACATTAAGCATATTCTTCTTTTTTTGATTATTTACTCCGAGTAAACACTGACAAATATTTTAGTTTGACCAGTGCTTTCTTCACCTCCTTGTTCCTCAGGGTGTATACAACAGGGTTGAGTAGGGGTATCAGCACAGTGTAGAAAACGGCCACAACTCCATCCACAGCATCCCTGGAGCCTGGCCTCAGGTAGATGAAGAGACCAGGGCCAAAGAAACAGAGGACCACGATGCAGTGCGAAGCGCAGGTCTGGAAGGCTTTGTGTCTGCCCTCTGAAGTGCGGATCCTCAGGATGGAGGAGACAATGGACACATAGGACAGCAAAATTAGAAGGAAGCAACCCGAAGCCACCACCCCGATGTTCACAAAGATGACCATCTCATTGACGGAGGTATCTGCACAGGCTAGCTTGAGGATGGGAGGAGCATCACAGAAATAATGTTGGATCTGGTTGGGTCCACAGTAGGGCAAACGGAAAGTCAGTGCAGTCTGGACAGCAGAGTGCAGGGAACCAGTGAGCCAGGTGCCAGCAGCCAGGAGGGCACACACTGTCCCGCTCATCATGCTGCTGTACCTGAGTGGGTAACTGATGGCCAGGTAGCGATCATAGGACATGACTGTGTAGAGGAAACACTCAGTGCTACCCAGGAAGTGGAAGGAGTAGAGCTGTGCCACACAGCTGTGGAAGGAGATAGCCCCGCCCTCTGGGGACACCAAGGTCATCAGCATTTTAGGCACCGTGACTGTGGAGAACCACATGTCAATAAAGGAGAGGTTGGTGAGAAAGTAGTACATGGGTGTGTGGAGGTGGGACTCCATCCTGATCACCATCAGGATGAGAAGGTTTCCCAGCACAGTGAGAATGTAGATCACTAGGAAGATGGCAAAGAGCATGGTGTCTAGGGTCGGTGCATGAGGAATGCCTGAGAGGAAGAACCTGGTGACCATGCTCATGTTTGACATTTCTTCATATGAAATATGGCCATTAGATTTTCCTGACAGAGAACACAAAATATAAATTGTTTTATATTTTTTATATAGACACCTCAGTTCAAAGGAATGGTTGCTTCCTTAATCCAGCCATACCCCTGAAAGTACATAAAATTCATATGAAATGGTTAACTTTTAACAAGAGGATCAAATTTAGTATTTTTGTTTAGGGAAATTAGAAAAATTGTGCTCAAGTAATAACTAGTGCTGAAAGACTTCTCTCATCACCAACCTTCATTCTAATAGCATTCTCCTTTTTCCTTTAACATCTGCACATGCTGTGCATGTACACACACACACACACACACACACACACACACACACACACACACACACACCCTCTAGTCATTCACTCTCCCCCTTAGATCATTAAATAATTTCATTTAAATGAAAATTTTACAACTACCTTCTCCTGGATGATCTCTGGTCATATACAAGGAGGGAGCGTGTTTACAATTTTTTTGTATTACAGACAACCTGCCTTTTTTTTTGTATCCTGTCTTCCTGGTCATATGAAGAGCTGGAAACTGCTGCAGTAATGGTCAAATCACATTTACTCCATCTTTTCTTATTTCTCCAGGACTGACTGTTCATTCTACTGAAGTGTGATCAAATGATCTCTGCGCATTTTGAGATGCTCACAAAAAATTGTGCTTAAGTTGTAAAGAGAATTGAACATGTCTCATCTTTTAATATCAAGTTTGAATTAAATATAATCATACATTTTGCTATAAAATCTAAGCATACAAACTATATATACAATATGAAATAATTTTTGTTTGTAGGATATCTATTATTTCAGAGATAAGACAATGTTTTTTTTCTTTAAAGAGCAGACTGGGTTTCTCATAAACAATATAGTTATATTTAAAAAGTAGTGAAAAGTAATGGAACCCCAACAGAAATCTGGCCAGAAATCTAGACCTAGCCAATCAAGAAGGAGTATCACTTACCCAATTTTTAGGGCACTTCTTCCCTTGCCTCTCTGTAAGAAATACCCTTTTCCTCTGTGGAAATCTTCTGTGGGAGCTCAGTTGGATGCTCAGAGGTAAAGAAAAGACTCAATTGACCTTTATCAACCTAAGCAGGGTAGCAAAGTCATGGCTAAGATAATAAAACTGGCTTTAAAGAACACTGAATAATCCAAGAATTTCCACCTTAAAAATAGTGTAGACTTCCCAATGTGACCAGCCAGGAATGAAATGTTGAGTTTAGACATTTCTGGTTCCTTACTAACTGCAGAGCCCTGTTTTTCATGACAAGGTGGATATTAAGGTTGCAAGAAGCTTCATGACCTTGAGGAGTAGTAGCAGTTATTCCCTTGAATGGTTAAAAACACAGAAGAAAAACTACAGAAACAAGATCCTTTTGAAATAGAGTTATAATTGGGTTGATATCTCAGGAGATAGTATTTTAGCCCTAGATTCTTCATTGGCAAGCATGTTTCAACATTGTAAACATCGAGAATTCTAGCCAAATGCATGTGTGTAAACTGGTTTTACTTTATGGGCCATCACTCTTTTAACCTCTTCATTTTGCCAAAATTTAATGAATAACCATCAAATCTATCTTCAAGACTTCTGCAGGGAATCACTACTACTCATCCTAGATGTCTTCTGTGATTTCACAAGCAGAAAACAAGGACTTTCATGCCCTAGGGGGCAACTCTCTGTAGTGGCTCCAAGTCTCTTTGATACATCTTTAAAATTTCTGTGCTCCAGGGACCCTCAGATGGTGATTACTGGAGTCGCATTTTACTAATTAAACCCCTCCTCTCCAGGGCTTCTGTCCAGAAGTGGATGTTATCTCGTATTTGCTGGCTGAGAGATTTCTCTGAAACTGCTGCCTTTATTCCTTCTTTAAGTTTAAACTTTGTTTACATTTTATGTGACAGTGCTTTTCCTTGTTTGTTTTCACATGAATTAATGAAACTAAAGAAAAAGAAGATATTATGGCTTATCTACTAGGGAAGAGTTCTCATAAAAATAAAAAGCAACCCAAAGCTCGCACTGTGCTAAAACCAAGGCTAGCACCTACAGATGGGCAATATTTCTTTCTGTGGAAGAGATTTCAATACTTGAAACCCCTTAAATTAACATTCCTGATTCTTAACCTATCACAACACTCAATTTTCTAACATTGGGTGTCTGCTTAAATTAAGACGTATTTGATTTGTATAAAACCATCACATTTTTTACAAAGTTTATAATTACTAGCTGTTTAGTTCTACTTAACCTATCTCAGTAGTACTTTATGAAATGCACATTTCATATTTTAGCATTTGATTCTCAGTATAGGTTTTCTATTGAGGATATCAACAATGCATTGTATCAGTTTGATCTTTTCAATAATAAGAAAAGAATTATCCAATATTTTAGGCTTTCCTTCACAATACAGTGAGAATATATGTGATAAACAAACTAGAGCTTCCACCATCATTAAGAATTCTGCACTCAGGCAGTTGCGATGCCTTGCAATGTGCTTTCCGTACAGCCTTGGAAACCTGAGTTAGATCCCTAGGACCGTCATAAAGGTGGAGACAAGTGGTCCCTAAAATTGTCCCCTGACCTCCACAAGTCCACCATGGTGTGTGCACATTCTAACACACACCATACATGCACAATAATGATGATAATAATAAATAAAATTAAAATTAAATATAATTCTCCACTTGTCGGCTCTATAATGCCCCATACCCCCAGACCATTCCCAGGTGATGGTGTCCTCTTCTGATGCTGTGCAGATGATGGGATAAGGGCAGGACTCCATTTGCATGTATCCAGCAATGTAGTAATCATTTGACTTGCTCTCCCAGTGTCTCTCCTTGAAAGATTATTTTTCTCAACAATAACTTTCACTGTTCAACATTCCTTGTACTTTCATGTTATTTTAGAATCAACTTTGTAGTTTCTAGAGACAGATTTGTTTAGGTTTTAGTTAACATTTCATTGAATATACAGAGTAATTACTGGAGAACTGACATTTCATAAGCATTGTGTCTGATGCATCGATAGCACATATGGCCTATATACCTCTCAACAATTCATATAATTTCAGTGCTCATACCTTGCTCATCTTCCAAAACTTATCATTAATGTTTCCTGGATTGATATTTTAAGTGAGAATTTTGACACATGGAAAGATAATAGATGTTTTATCTCAGTATTATATCCTGCAGTTTAGCTAAACTCACTGATTTCAGATATTGCATCAGATTGGTTGTGTTTTTTTGTCTTAATTGATCACGCTGCCTGCTTCTTCATGTGAGAGTCCTGACCCTACAACCTAGAAAATGCCTTGAAACAAAAGTGTTCAGCTCTTTAGCTTTCCTTCCTCAGAAATGTCAATAGTCTGTACTTTTTGCAGGCATGAGAGCACCTGTTTGTATGTATTTCGTTCAGCTTGTTATTTACTTGGGCTGGGCGGGTAAATATATAAACCCTGTTAGTGTGTGGGCCAGGACATGAAATCTATAGTATATCTATTTTTTGTCATTTGCTTTATATAGTTGTATGATTATACAAATTATAACATTTTATAATCATAGGTACATAGTCCATATTTATTGTGAACTAACACTCCTGCAATTAGCATTGGTATTAGAATGTTACACATTGCCAACTACCATTGGGCACCTCTTCTCCCCTTTGCTTTCCTTTCCATTTTGATCTCACTAGTCTTTGTTCATTCATTCTTATGGTTTCCTTAACATGATTTCTAATTACTTTTCAAGGAATTATTATTTTATATAGTTAAAATGAGTATTTTAAAGTTTTAATTAAGTAGAATCGTAATGTTTTGTTACTTGACAACAATCATAGTTTCTGTTACTTAACAGTATATTTTGATGTATTTTGATAATAGTGTACATTGATATGCTGTATTAGCTTTCCATTGCTGAAAAAAAATAGCCAAGATGATAAATTGTAAAGGGTGGAAAATTTACTTTTGTTTTTTTTTAGACATTTTAATCTATGGTCATAGCATTTCTATGCTTTGTTATTATGGTGTTGCTGATCTCTGTGGTCAGAAATGGCAACCATGACTGCTCCCTTCAAATGTCAAGTAAGCAAAAGAATGGTTCAGGTACTAAGAGCCCTTCCTGAGCATACCTCTAGTGACCTCCTCCTTCAAACCAGGCCCTGCCTTCTAAAATGTATACCTTTGCATAGTGTTATTGGCTGAGGACCACATCTTCAGCACATGGGTCTTGGGGAAGCAAATAGTGAGAAAACAGAAGCACATGTGCATGTCTGTGCTTATTGAAGAAAGTTCTTCTGTGATAGAAAAATGAGTTTGTAAACAAAAAAATCTTTCTGATTCCATGTCTTCATCCTTTCTTTTACAAGACAGTCATGTGAACACACACACACACACACACACACACACACACACACACACACACACACACATTGTCCTTAATACACACACACACACACACACACACACACACACACACACACACACACACACAATTTTATTCCCAACATGTTTTCCCTCCATTATGTCCTCAATGGGGACTTACTGATAGGTGTAAGAATTCTCTTACACATGCTAGGATTCTCCTCTCCTTGCTTGTGCAGGTAAAATGACCACAATACAGAGCATGCCTGATAGGACAGAGCCAACAAAGGGGAAGCAAGTCATGTAAGCAGAACAAGGGTTAGCAGAAGCAATCAGAACTCCAGATGTATGCCAGCTGATGGGAAACACATTTAATGTTGAAGAGAGATGATTTTCCTCAAGTTTCTAGGGTAGCAGGATGTGTTTTTAAGGCAAACTCCCATTTTGTGTAAGATGGGACTGTGCAGAAGCTAGAGAAAAGATTGCATTTTCTCCCCTTGAATCCAAGACAGAGACCACACACTCATCCCTGTTATACTTCTAGCTTATTTCTAAATGTTAGTTATTTCCAAATTATTAATGAGTGTTATGTTAGTAAATTCAAAAGGTTTGTAAGAACTTGAGAATTT